GTCAAAGCTTCACTCTACTGAAGAATTAAATCCCTGTATTATTTATTTTCCCATGGCTGGGACAAAATATCTGATACCAGTAACTTTAAAGGAGAAAAGGTTTATTTAGGCTCACAGTTTCCATGGATTCAGTCCATGGTTGGCTGACTCCAAGGCAGAAGTGGCAAAGCAGAATGGCATAAAGGAGGAAAGCTGCTCATTACATAGTGGCTGGGAAGCAGAGACTGAAGGGAGGAGCCAGAGATGAGAATACATCCTTCCAGGTCACGCCTCCTGTGACCCACTCTCTCTGACCAGTCCCCACCTCTAAACACAAGACTTTGAGTGACATTTTAGATCTAAACCCTAATAGTTCCCAATACTTCCAGGTTGTACTTAGGATTTCGAGGGTGCCTATGGGGTCTCAGGCACACTGATCATGAAAGCTTTAGAATAGGGGGCATGAGGGACTTGCAGGTTTCTCCTACGTGCAGTTTTTCAGACCCATCACACAGCTAATCATCACAAGGGTGGCTGGTGTGGCTGAAAGGGTCAGAAGTAGTGCATAAGAGATATGCTGTGTTAAGCAGTTCTCATTGTGGATACAAAATACTTAACACCTGCAATTCAAAAGAGGAGAGATTTATTTGGCTCAAGGTTTCAGGGGATTCAGTCTATGGTCAGTTGGATCCAAGGTAGGAACATCATGGTAGAAAGACATAGTTGAGGGAAACTTCTCAATTCATAGTAACCACGAAGCAGACCAGGGGAAATCACTGGAGAGGAAGGGGTCAGGGATATAATAGACTCCAAGGTCTTGCCTTCATGACCCACCCAGCCACTTCCAAAAGTGTGCTTCACTGCTAATCCCCTAGCCATCTCCCAGAACAATCAAGCTGACAAACTTCACTGTCCCACACTTGATCTGAGATGCTTGTGTTTGAAGGAGAAGCATGTTGGGCTGAGCAGGATGGTGAGAAGATCCAGGAAAGGTTGCTGGCCTCTCTCAGGTGTAAGCCCTTCTTACAAGAATGGGAATACTACCAAGGTACATCATGTACAGGTACAAATTCCCAATGATAAATGTAAATGTATTGTATACCTAAAATATACCAATAAAAGAATTTAAGGAAAAAAAAAAAAGAATGGGAACCCTGTGACAGGACCAAGGATTTGATTCAAGTAGAGAAGTCATCAAAGCCACTGACAAAGTGCTGACTGAAAGAATAGTGGATAGAGGTAGGGGCTCCTTTGAGGCTGAGCAGTAGAAACTTTTAGTTCCTTGGACTTTCTCCATGAGAGCCTGCACCCTAAGAGTGGTTTGGAGAAAGCAGACCACAGGGGTGGCCCAGGGGGACCTGGCATGAAGCACTGAGTGAAGATGCCAGGGTGAGTCATCTGAGGGAAGGTGAGGGTGGCATGTAGTCAAGGGTGGATAGGACAGAGAAGGGAAAAGCAGAGGCACCAATTTCTAGAGGTTTCCATGAGAACAGAGCAGAGCAGGGGCAAGGAAGGAAGATGAAGCCCAGAGCCCTGCGCTGAGGGCAAGGTCTAAGCAGACCCAGGCCACTAGGTGAAGACATGAATGTCACATCCTGCAGTGAGTTGAGAATATGAATGCTGCTGTCACCTAAGAAGGGGATGGGAAGGACAGGGAAAGCCTGGGCCCAGGCTGGAAGAAACAGTAATAGAAGATCCTGATAGATGGACTGAGGAAGGTAGGTGAGGAATAGAAAAATATTCTAATAGTGATTTGGAGGCAGTTAAGTGGGTAGTAGGAGAGATTTTTGGATGAGAATCCATGTACATGGGTGTGGGAGACAGAATCAGAGGCCTTGAGATAATAGATTTTAGGGAACTAGAACACAAATTACAATCAAAGCAGTTGCTAAAATTTGAAAACAAAGCAAAATTTGCTTCAGTGCAGACTTACCAGACATTCCTGCAAGATGCATTGGGAAGGTGGGTATTGGTTTCACTTCTGCTTAACACACTGGATATAATTTGAATGTGCTGTAAGGAACCTGCCTCATTTTTGTGATGTACTGAAAGAAGAGAATAAAATTAATCCAGAACAAAATTAGAATTCAACTACATGGCAGACAAACATTCATTCACCACTCACAGACTGCAGTAGCATAAAAGAGGCAGTCTAGGGTGTGGTTTTATTAGTTTTCCCAACAATCCTTTCTGCTAAATCAATTTAAACTCTATGCCCTGGCTAGAACACAGAGCAAAGCAAATGGAAGCAAATGCTTTAACATGACAGGGAGATATAAAACCTCGGGTAAATGTTTAACATTGCCACACAGAGCCCCAGCCATAGTTTATCAGCAGCTGTTTATTTGGCCCTTGAATCCAGACAGTTGCATGCCTCCTCGTGGTCTGCCTTCAACACAGTGTCCCACTCAGGAGAGCCCTGGAAGACATGAGGGTCATAAACAGAAAGTGAAGAGTAATAAATGACTTTACCTGCCATTGTTGAATGTCTTCTTTGTGTTATGTTGAATATATTATGTCATATATCTTAGTTAATTCATAATATAAGGACGAGAATGAGGCAGTGCCAGGAATCCCCCTTACCTTGTATTGGCCGGAACCAGTCACTGGTATGTCATTTAGGGTTCTTCACTGCAGACAACAGAGGCTACTCTAGCCAATTTAAAACAACTAGGCATTTGAAATAGTAGCACGGTTCCTTTGAGTCACTGGGAGGCCTCATGAAATGAACTCACAGATGAACTCTGAAAATCACCATAGAATGGAGCTGCTGCCTCTTGAGCAATCAGAAATTTGCTGAACTGAGAGGCTATATTCTCCAACAGAGCCAGTCCCAGAGTTTTCAGCTCTAGGGTCATGCCACGTCTGCCACTAGCAGAAGGGGACTCAATCAGAAAGCCACCTCAATTATGGATACTTCTGAGACATGTTTCTGCTGCTGCGACCCCTACCAAAAAAAGAGATGCCAGGATGTCCCCTTTCTTCCCACATTTCTCAGCTCCCATTCCTGCCTCATGGTCTTCTCTCCAAGGATTCAGTTCCAAAGCAGGTAGACGTGATTAATAATATTTAAATCAAATCTGGGACCACAGCTGCAAGACACTCTGGTAAACTGAGCATTGCAACTCTCCAGTCTCTGGAATGGAGGAAGGTGTTGGAACAAAGGTTGAGTATACCAGGCTATTGTGTTAGTGAAATTGCTCCATAAACTTGAGGTACTTGGCATCTGGCTGGCCAGGCTTTCCCTCCCTCATTCTCAGGTATCAGTCTGCATGTATTATTTTTTGGGTCTTCACCTCAACTTTTCACCAAAATATTATCACCTCCACTCTACAGAAAAGAAAACTGGGGCTCATAAAGTTTAAATAACATGAAAAAGTTTAGCAGAATCATGATTGAATCAATCTCCATATTTTACTTTTCTTGTATGCTCAAGAAACTACACATCAACTAGAATAAACTCTCTCTATTCTCAATTTATTTGTCCTGATCATGATTCACTAACTTTCTAAGCAGCTGACTAGACCTGGGACTCTCCTGTCTCCAAATATTTGCTCCAGCAATTTTCTTAGTTGTTTGAGTTCCTTGATGCTGGGGCCACTGGAAAGCCGTTTGTGTTAGTACAGTCTGGGCCTGAAAAGAAGAACTTCTTTATCATCTCCCATCCCCCATTGTTACGCAATCACTCCATGAGGCATTACTGTCCTTTTTCCACTCAAGTCCTAGCCAGCCTTTAGTGTCCAGATCAAATGCTGCTCTCCGAAAGATTTCTCCAATTTCCCAGGCAGAAGGCAGCCCCACCTTCTCAGAGACATCCATGAATTGTATCTGTACCTCTCTTCACACAGGTCCTGCAATGAGCTTACATAATTACCCTTTCTGCAGTAAAACTTTCTTGAAGACAAGAACCATGACATTTATGTCTGTGTCCCTTAAATCTCCTGGCACAGTGCGTGTGTGTGATAAGGATTCACTAGCTGAACAATGAATGAATGAATGAATGAATGAATGAATGAATTTCTCTAGTGGGGTGCTCTTTTCTATAGAATATTAGATATCTATATCCAAGTAACTACATCAGTTGCTCTAATCTAGTGTTTTTAGTTAGCAAGACTGTTCTCCATCACCATTATCCATACAATTTAGCCCAAATTTACAAGTAAGCACTCAGTAACTGCTAAAGACTGGATGTTTGGGTCCCCCCAAAATTCACAAGTTGAAACCTAATCTCCACTATGGGAAAGTGGGGAGGGTGAATAGGTCACAAGGGTGGGGCTCTCATGAATGGGATTAGTGCCCTTGGAAGGAGCTGAAGAGACCAGAGTTCTCTCTTTTTCACCATGTGAGGACACAGCTAGGAGGCACTGTCTATCAAATGGACCCTCTCGAGACACCAAATCTGCTGGAGCCTTGATCTTGGATTTCCACGCCTCCAAAATGTTGAGAAATAAATGTTTTTAAGCCACCCAGTTTATGATCGTTTGCTATAGCAGCCCAAATAGACTAATGTATACAGAATATATTTTTTTTTTACCTATTTGCTTTATGGCTTTTAACACTTTTGAAAAATGAACTAAAGGGCTGAGGATTTAGCTCAATGGTTCCACTGCCTGCCTTGCAAGCACAAGGACCTGAGTTCCATCCCTGATACAAAAAAAAAGAAATTAACTAAAAAAGAGAGAACAGAACTACATCTTTGAAGTTGAAATGAGTCCTTTTTTTTTTTTTTTTGGAACAACAGCAGGACGGTTTTTATTCTAGCACAGCCACTGACCAGAAGTAACAATTCATCAGGCCAGAAAGAGTGGGAAAAGTCATGGAACTAAAAGTCTAAAAGTATCAAGGAGTCTCAATGGTCTACTTTTAATCCATTTAATTTCCTGCTAAAGTAAAATTTCTTCCATTTGTGTCAGTCCTTTAGGATCAGCATACAGCAGCGGTCTCCTACGTTTTTTCTGGAAACAACCCAGTTTAGAACCCCAAAAGATGGTCAGCAGGTCTTTCCTGCTGTGTGATTGATGAAACTGGTAGGCCAGCCGCTTCCTCCTGGTTGCCATGGAAATGGCCAGGCTGCTGGCCTCAGAAAACGGAAAAGAACAGCAAGTGCAAGAGCACGCATTCCACCCTGGCTTGCAGATTAAACCAGCTGTCAAGCCAGGGTGAAGGACCAGTGGCCAGGCGGAGGCCTGCAGAGCGGAAAGGGAAGCCTCCACGGTCGAACTCCAAGATGTAAGTAATTTCTCTGCTCTTCTTCCCCAAAAAACCGTGTATACTTTAACAGACAGTTTCTAGTAGCTGCGGGATTGCTGTTGCACGGCAGGAAAGTTCTGAGACGGTTTGAAGAGCCACTGGCAGGCCCTCACCTTGTTGCTTTTGTATTTCCTAGACGCGATGTACATGTAGGGGTGGTGGCTGCACAAAACTCATTTTTAGGCTTCTGAGTGCATGAACTGCTTTTTGGTGAGATTCTTCCTTTAAAAGGAAACATTCTTCAGGGCATTAAGCAAAGAATGCAACAGTCTTTTCATTTAGCCCCTAAATAGGTAAACTCAATTAGAGCAAATACAACAGATCTCTCTGTGGAATCTGAGCTTCTTGTTTCCATTTTAAAACATCTAACTATGCTCTTGGTTAGTCTTCAATATTAAATTAACAATTAAACGGAAAAGTTTGTTACTTCTCTTTCTCATTTTGACTACAAAAACCACTGAGAACTCTCAAAGTACATCTTGTGTTGATTAATTTTTGCTCTCTTTATGTCTTTTAATAATGTATTTACTGCCTATTTACATACTAAGCTTTACAGAGCTTACTCATTAGAAAATGTAAGGAAATAAGGGAAAACAAGAAGCTTAGATGAGCATTAACATTTGGATTGGAGAGTTAACTTTTTAAAAAATTGTTTTGTTCAAAAGCAGAAAAAATTTATCACTTTTATTTAAATAAAAACTATAAAGAATGAATAAGAAAGGCAAGATAAGAAGGATATTTTTGTGCCAGAACTCAGTAGAACATACACGGTCTTGTATAAGTTTTATTCTTTGGTAAGCATGTTTTGGGATAGTTTTCAGCAAAAAGTATGTTGGTATATTTTGGAGAGAGAAATGTTTTAAAAGCATTGTGTATAATATTTATGAAAATGCTGTTCTTTAAAAATACTAAAACAAAACTTTGTTTGAAAAATTTTTAATGAAAAGAGTGATCCTTGAGAAGCTTTTATGTTTTTTAACTGAATAATGCAATATGTTTGGAGGAAAAACAAGATTTGTCATTAAATATTTTTTTGTGACAGAAAGTGGGCATTTTCTGAAAATAATAGTTTCAATAAAGTATTTATGAAAATGAGTGCTTTCCAACAGCTGACTTAGATTTCTTGTCTTTACCATGCCAGTTTTTCATTGCTTGAAACTTATGTATGGTTAGCCTTTAAAATTCAGCAGTGGGGCTGGAGATATAGCTCGGTGGTGCCGCCGCCTGCCTCACAAGCACAAGGTCCTGAGTTCGATCCCTGGTACCAAAAAAATAATAAAATAAAATAAAATTCAGCATCCAGCTGAGTGTGGCACATGCCTGTAATCCCAGCACTCTGGTAGGCTAAGGCAGGAGGATTACAAGCTAGATCCCAGCCTAGGCAATTTAGAGACTTAGCAAGACCCTGTCTAAAATTTTTAAAATTAAATTGTAAAAAAGGCTGGGTATGTAGCTCAATGAGAAAGCCCTGGGTTTCATTCCCCAATACCACACAAAAAGAAAGGGGCTCATGTCTGTGTCTATAGGAGCCAGTAAGTTGGTAGACATGTGTGGGTAAAGCAGTTGTACCATGCTGTTCGCTGGGCAGCTGGGCAAAACTATGGGTGTGAACTCTCGTGGATTACACAACTAAGCATATACCAAGTTGCTTGAGATACAAACCTGAAGGGCTGGGCTTCCTGGAGAAATCACTCTCCTAAACCCTGTGTGAGTAGAAAGGTGTGATGCCCACACATGTGAGTTAGGATTTCCCGATCCTTTGCTCTCTGAGCTGTTATTCTGTGTCCTACAGTCTATGCAGAAGCAGCGCTTGACTCATACTCTCCTCTATTCTGATGACCTAAAAGTTATTTTAAAATCTAATTTATAAATGTTTCTTTTTCAAAGCGTGTTTCTGAATTTCCACTGTGGCTCCTCTACCTGGCTGGCTGGATTCTAATGTTAACTGTTACCAACTAATTCTGGGACGTGGGACATGTTACTTTTTTGCATCTTCATAGTCTAATATGAAAATTGGGCTGTGGTATCTACCTTTAAGATTATTGCAAAGATTAAATGCTGTAAAACACATGAAGGATTTAGAAAAGTACCTGGCACAAAAGACGCACTCTGTCTTAGTCATTTTCTTCACTCCTGGGACAAAAATGCCCAACTCCTACCACTTAAAGGAGAGCAGGTTTATTTTGGCTCACATTTTAGGAGTTGCAGTCCTAGCATGGCCAGTGGGCTCCAGGCAGAAGCAGGAGGATGGGAAGGTCTGGTGGAGGAAGCTGCTCATCTCTGTGGCATACTGGAAGCAGAGAGAGGGGAAGGGTGGAAGGCGATAAACACTTCCAGGTCATGAACCCACTCATCTGCCTCTTCCAACCAGGCCCACTTTCTAATACCACACCGGATGTAGCACCCCCCAATAATCAATCACCATCCACAAGCCTCACCTCTTGAGTGCATGAGGCTTTGGGGTAACATACAGATATAAACCATAACACACACATTACATGTATTATTAACAAATAAAAACATGTATAGTTCATGATTTCAGTCAGCCTTCAACATACCTATATCCTTCACTTTTTTATTTTAAAGTATGTTACTTCTCATCAATGATGATTTTCCATATTTAGCCTTAGGAGCACAGAGTTAAGGGACAGTAAAATATTGATACAGCATGTAACATTTTTCTTCTTTCTATTAATCTGAATTTTCTTGGGAGCTGAATGTTTGACAGATGTATATCAGATACCCAGGAAGAACTATCAAGTAAGAGCCTGAAGCTTGAGGAAGAGGTTAGGATAGTGGTGGTGAACCTATGGTACGCAGTGGGCTGTTTGCCTCATTGAAAGCTCTAAAAGGTTTGCCATCACTGGGCTAGGAGGTAAAGATATCTTGGTTAGTATTTTGTGGAATCACCAAGGCAGTGGATGGATGAATGAGAGCCAGACTCCAAGCTGAGGGCATGCAATGGTGACAGGGTAGGAAGATGAGCAGCCAAAAGACAGCAGCCAAAGAGGCAGAAGGAGTAGCCATGCAGTGGCAAGAAAAGTAGGAGACCAGTGTTGTTTCACTCAGGAAGGGAGTAGGCATCTATGAGAAGTCAGGGGAAATGAGCCCAGAAAGTACACTGGATTTGGAATATTGATAGGTGGTAGACACTGATGAAAATGATTTCAATGGTTTAGTAACAAGAAAAGCCTGATTGGAGCGGCTTAAAAATTGCACACAGGGTTCAGTGGTAAAACACTTGCGTAGCATGTGTAGGGCCCGCGCTTGATCCCAGCACACACACGCACACAAAAACCTAACAGAAACAGGTACTGGGCTTTGTGTGTGTGTAAAATTTTATTTTTAATGGTACTAATTTAGCACCCCAAGAAAAAACAGATAGACTGTAATGAGAGCTTTCAGCTATGTCCCTAGCCTAGTAAGGTTTCATGGAAGAGGTGAAATTTGAAGGTGGTTTAGGATATGGAGGTGGTTTCTTAGTGGACAAGAAATAGAAATCATCCCCAGACCTAGCAAACAAGATAAGCCATACAGGGAGGAATCAAGTCCCCAATGGAAAATAAGAAAACACAATGAAGCCCAAAGACCACACACACACACACACACACACACACACACACACATACACACACATACACACACACACACATACATATGCAGGACTTGTTCCTAAAATATTCTTTGATGCCTCCCCTTACCTAGGTTAATGCACATATTTCCCATTAACAGATTATTTTCCATGTGCATCTCTGAAATCCATGGCAAAGAAACTAGAACTCCTCCATGGTTAGAAGTCTGAGGAATTCATTTGGACTTGAGTCTATACCATTTCATGGGCTCTTGGTTTAACCCTAATTGTGTTGCCGTGATTATTTATTGGAGCTGCTGTTGCCACAGAATTAATCTTCAGAGTCACCAATGAGATCAGGAAGCACTCTTTTAAATAAACTTATTTTTGAATTTTTTTTTGATTTACAAAAAAATGGTGAAGATAGTACAGAGAGTTCCCATATAGAATAAGCATCTTACATTAGTATGGTACATTTGTCACACTTCACAAATCAACATGATGCATTATTATTACAAAGTTCAATTGTTATCTAGATTTCCTCAGATTTTTACCTTATACCCTGTTTTGGTTAGATGATCTCATCCAGCATGCTATACATCTAGTCATCTTTTCCAGGAGGCATTTTAAAGCCTTTAAAAATCTTTCAAGAAAGCAACAAGGCTTAAATATCCTTTGGTTCCAATACTGTGTCTCATACCACCAAGGAAAACTCTGTTCCTACTCTTCTAAAACCAAATGGTTGGAACTTGAACTTGAACACAGATGAAAGGAAAATGCCTAAGGCTTATATCTTCAGGTAAGAGTTCAAGATTCTTTTTGGAATGTAATAATGTTCAACTGCAAGTGGAAGATCTGATTCCCCTTTTATTGTTCAGGAAGCAGGTAATTAAAATGTTCAAGCCTTGCCAGCTTCTTCTTGTTTCTGGTCTCTTAGCAAAGGGATTGGTGTCTCGCTCATTGTACTTGGCAACCTCATGCGGAATGCTGGCCCAGTGATTTGAGCAAAGTTCCCCCTGAGTTAGCTTTATAAGACTGAACTCTTAAAGTGCAGGTTGCGGGGTGGGGTGGGGTGGGGAGGATGCAGCATGAACTATTAAAATCATTCCACAGAAGGTGGGCCTGGCTGTATAGCCCTGTAACGCCAGCATCTGGGAGACTGAGGCCTGCAAGACCCTGTCTCAAAATTTAAAAACAACTAATGGATTGGGAATGTAGCTCCGTGTGAAGGCCCTGGGTTCAATAGAGAGCAATGAGGACAATGCTCGTTGGTGCTCACACATGTGTGAGACGCCCGTGCAGCTGGGACTCGGTACCCACGAGTCCTGCATCCATGGCCTCATTCAAGCTCAGGCAGAAAATATCCATGGGGGAAATGGCATCTGCACTGAACATGTACAGGCTCTTT